CACCCAGACGAATAAGCTGAGACTTTCCTCTCTAAGTTCCTCCTCTTCCTCTCCTTATGCTGGTAATTGTCTGACATCCTGTGCGCTTGTAAATAGGTAGACGTTGTCCCAGATACATGTTTTATTAGATAACATAGTTCGTCCCTCCTGAAGTGACGTTGATCATGTAATCTGGGGCAGCTTTTACCTGCGTGTGGAGTTTTGCTTTTTCTAATCATCACAGCTTTACCATCCTGTCTAACAGCAAACTTCATCCCGACTTGCATTTTTAGCATTTAATTACATTTTTCATTAAATATAACAGGAGATATAGTGGAGGTGATTCTGGTCCAGAGTATATAACAAGCTGACCACACACTGCTTTGTTGACTATAGAGAAAGTTGGAGTTGGATGCCAATTGGATGTATTTTTTAAGTGATGATGGTTGTGGAGGAGTTTTAAAAGACCGTGAGTCGTTCCCGAGTCGTTCCTGAGTTGTTCTGAGCGCTATTTTACGTCAGCGTGCCTCTAGTGTTAATGCTAAGTCTATTTACAGCTTCCAGTGTGAGTGCAAAAATAACTGCACATACTCATAGCTCCCATTCTGTATGTATGCTGCACGAGCGTCACTGAATGATGTGCACACAAGCTTGTGTGATGACTTTAAGGAAGTTTCGATTGCTTTGTTATTGCCAACAGACACGCAGCTCTCAGCTGAGATTGTGTGTGTGTGTGTGTCTTCGTGAAAGATGTTTTAAAGGACAGCATTTCTTTTTCTTGTATCATTCTTCATCCTCAGCTTTCCATCTGCAAGGAGTTGGGGATTTTCTCTTACTGCTAACATTTTACACAGCAATCCCCTCCTGCTTTTGTTTTTAAAAGAATAGTGGGACATTTTGGGAAATAAAAGTTTTATCTGTAAAATGGTGCATACACATCACATGGGTATCCAGCACATCTGTGATGATACCTTTAATTCTGATTAATTAATTACAGTACTTAAGATACCTCTCATTTCCTTATATTTTCCTTTTAGGGAGTCAGACTTTATTGTTGATTTTTTAAAGTGGTCTTCAGCAAGTTGTTTTCCAGGATTTTTGTAGGCTTTTGGCTACTTTTTCACTCATTTTCAGACCAATATTTCACCTGACTGTACTTACAGGTCAGGACTTGCTGCTTTTTTGTTATGTTATGTCTCTCGACACTGACCTATGAATCATCCAAGGCCAAAAAAGACACCTAAACTCAGTGGATGAATCAGTGTTGTATCTACACATAACAGACAATATCTTCAGTCAATTCGTGACTAGCAGCTTATCACAAAAATACTTCATTTGTTTTCATTTCTTTAGTTGAATCTATATAAAACGCCAAAGATAAAGCAATGTTATGGGTGTGAAATTGTATTTTTGCACCAACAAGGTGATTCCCACAGAGCTAGCATTTCTTAGCATTTCTCAAAATGCTGTGCAGTGTGGAAACCGGACAGAATAAGAGAATAAAAAAAAGTGGCAGGCCTATAAACCTATCCACAGCAGATGAACACCATCTGAAAGAAATAAGTCTGTCAAGGAACCAAGCTTAATTAAAGGAAACACTGAGGACTTTTTTACAGCTTTTCTCAAAATGAGGTTTATGCATCATATTTTACAGAGCAGTCTAAAAAAAGACTCGCCAGCAAAGACTGCAGAAAGTAGCAGTGTGCAGTTCACAGATAGCATTTTTTTTTTTTATCAAGCTGAATGTTAATTTGTGAATTTGAGAGTTCTGGAAGATTCATTTTTAAGTTCAGGTTTAAGTTGTAAGCTAAAGACTGTACAATAATAGAGTGAAAACTCCAACAATCTGAAAATCCTCTTTGACCAAGCACTTGGCAACAGTGGGAAAGAAGAACTTCCTTTTAACAGAAAGAGACCTCTGGCTCAGGGAGTAGCGTGTTCCCCAAAATGTCAAACTATTCAGTCAACATCTCACTGCTCTGGTCAGTTTTATTCACCTGTATTATGTATGTAAGGATTGTTTACTAATAACATTCCCATTTCCTTCTTGTTCTTTTCCTCAAAAAAAAAAAAAAAAAAAAATCCAGCTGAAGAGCCAGGAAGTGCTGCCAGAGAGCGGCCTGCTGATCGCAGTTTCCTGAAGACCGGTGGTGCTTCTGGAGTCACAAGGGCCAGTCAGCGTATGGCAGCGAGAAAGCGCAGCAGCCAATGCCTGCTTTAGACTTTCAAAGAACCAGCCTAAATGCTATGACCTCTGACCTCTATGCTGAAACAGCCAAGACCCACAATCCCACCTTTCCCCTCACAAGCCCTGCTCTTTACCGCCATCCAGCCATAGATGCTTCAGTCCTTTCCTCCTCCAGGCACTGTGTACACAGTGCAATCTGCACCTGGAGGCTTACCTGATTCCCCTCACCCACTCCACTGTTTGTGACATCCCCCACCATCATGTGTATTATTGTCTTTGAGTGATACAGTCAGCAGTTTGCCTTGTAGTGTGTGTGTCAGAAGAAGGTGTTTAAAATGTGCCTATGAAGGCTTCAGTGATGTGACGGAAGTGGTCGAGGATGCCTTTAGATGCCGGGTTACACAGAAAGAATTTGGGTATTTATCAGGTAAAGATTTTACATCACTGGACAGCTTAAAGATGCACACCACCTTACCTGCGTTAAAGGCATCCCTGAGAGAGAGCCAGACAGCCTGTGGATGGAAGAGATGTTCATGCATGTTTAAAATGGCTTGTGAAAGGAATTCTGCACACACAAACACACATACACACACACACACACATATATGTGTGAGTGTGTGTGTGTGTGTGTGTGTGATGGAAGCCAGCCCACTCAAAGACAAGACAGCTTCAACTTTGACTGCCACAGAAACTCAAGTACTTATTCTTGTGGCATTCTAATTAAAAAGGACACCTTGCAAATGCAATGCAAAGAAAAATGACACTGACAATGTATCATTACACACAGTGGAGGAATGTACAGTAGGTAGTCGATCACTGCTATTAGTTTGCTACTAGCTATATCTGTGTTTGTGGAGGAAGCTCATGAATGGTATGACAGACATTAGCCGAGGCTTAGAAACAGCTGAACTGGAAGGTTCCATTTCAGTCACAAACGTCCTCTTTTTGACCCCAGAGGTGCTTTATTGGCATCCAACTCCAAACTGAAAAATGCTAAACAAGTCACAGAATTGTGAAGCTGGCTGATTCTGATTTCCACGCTGGACTATAGTTTGTAAAAAGAGGTTCGAGTACTCAAATGGAACCAGGCTAAACACGCGTATTCACTCCTCTGCAGGAGTTCTCATACGAGCATGTGCAATAACGATATAGTTTCTTGAATGATTATGCTGCACTGGGTTATTACTTCTTCGCCCAACACTGAATTATTATCATTCACGCTCATACTGATGTTAGGTGACAAACGGTGTTACGATTATACTTATTTTTCTCGAGTGTTTATGCATGACAGAGATTGTAAATGTTGAAAATTTAGGCTATGGAACAGGGGTTCGCCAAAACTTGCCAAAGTTTGAACTTTGAACTCTGTACTTCACTCTGACTTGCCTTATCCATGCGAATGGCGAAACCCCAGTTGGTTCAGGTCGGTGGGGTTACACAAGTGTTAAGTTATTGGGTGGGCCTGTTGAACCACAGAGACGGTAACCGTTAGACAGCTGTGTTCATTTAATTTAGAACTGTGTGACAGAAATGAGCTCCTTTATTGGACCAAAAGAAAAAACTCAACCAAGTGGCCATATGCTATTGTCTTTGCTATTTCTCTTGGTTCAGGCCATCCTAGCATTCCCATGGCAACGGCAATATGGATGATGCAAACTTTGGCAGGCTGCTGGTGGGGTCGTTGTTCCATAATTCACTTACTTCACATTTAGTTTGGCGTGTTTTCTTGCTGTACATTTGCCATTTTATGCTGATGTTTTGTGTGAGTGCGTGCGTGGAAACATCGAACATTTGCTTTTTTGCAAAGTTGATTACCTGGGTAGCTGTGCAATAGCTTGATATGTTTTATTTTGATGTTAAACATCATTGAATTCTAAGTGTGTTTGCAATGTATGATTTCCATGCAGTGTACGTTAAGAGGTTTGTGTCACTTTGAATCACTTAGTCATATATAGGCTGTCTGCTAAGTAAACTATGCCTTCGTGATATTTACGACACTGATCACAACGCCATCCACCTGTAACGAAGCTCTGATTGATGTTGCTTTACTTGCCTTCAAATTTTAGCTCGAGAGCCTCTTAAGTCTGCTCTCAGTGGTAGAAATGGCCTTCGACAAGCGTCTACCTGAGTTCTGCCAAATTAGGTTTTGTTTGCGCTCGAGTCTTCAGAAAAAAAAAAAGACAAAAGTTGCCAAGTTTTACAAAAAGTGGTAAAAAGTTTTGAAGATTTGTGTACTGTAAATAAAATTAAAAGCCAGTGACTGGAAAGATTATGAAGTGTTTGATTCACAGAGCACCTTATAAGAGCGTAAACAAATCCTTTTTGTTGAGGAGGGAACCAATAATGCTTTGTTGGTGCTGAGTTGCATATGTATATTGTGCTCTGATTGGTGCAGCTTTTTTTCCTGAGTTTGTGCATAATGAACTAGAAGGCCGATGCAGGACTCTTCAGGATCCTGTCTCTGATGAGTTAACCGTGTGTTGTGTTGGCAAAAGTATTACCACTGAAAGATTTTGGGAAACAATAAAATTTAAAAAAAAAAAACACTTTAAAATCTTTTACTTCTGTTTGTTTTACATCCAGGTCACCAGTAGCAATGATTTCCCCTCCCACTGTGGTACCTTACAATATAAAGCACCTTGAGGTGACAGTTGTTGTGATTTGGTGCTATATAAATAGAACTGAATTGATTTGAATTCGTTTTTTCTATTACCAGTAGGAAAAGTTGATTTGATAAACACCACTAATAAGAGTGATGTCAGAGTGAACCAGCACCTTCTGGTGCACTCGTCACTGCAACAAGGTGAGAGGTTTGAGATAAAGTCATCTTTAGGGTATCGGCTCACCTGCTTCCATCTCACCTCATCCCTAGCATCGTCTGTCACACCTCCTTCACTACATCCATTAATCTTCTCTGTGGTCCTCCTCTTTTCCTCCTGCCCTGCAGCACCAAATTTAACCCTTCATCCCATTTGTTCAGCATCCCTCATCTGTGCATGTGTATCTTACCCTCTCCAACTTTGTCTCCAGTGGTTTAAAATTAGGTGGCTGAAATAAAACAGGTATTAAGGACAGATGTTTAACCACAAACCCACACATACAATAAAGAGTCAAGTTAAAGAGAAGACAGAGGAAATGGGATCAGTGCACCCTCTTTATTTTGATTTATATGCAAACAAGTAAAACCTTGTACAGTTGATCCTTACACTGCTTCTGCAAAGCATTTTTAAAAACATTCATGAAACCGCTGTAAAATTCAAGTTTCAGTTTCAACCTTAAAACAGCCAAGTCTACCAGACATGGATCTTCTTTGAATTTAGGACTTAATCCATGTCTGGGAATCTGGCTGCATTGCCACAATCCCTTGTCATCTTGTCATATGAAACTCTTTGGACAAAACTTCCTAGCTAGCCTTACCTTTTACAAAACACTTGTACACCCAACAGGATTTATGAAAGCCCCTTTTACAAGTCTGGAGTTTACCAGATGTTGGTATATACTGTACTTAAGATGCAGACAAATAAACACCAAACGGAAAAAGTGGAACACACAACGTTTAAAGCCACCATACCAAAAAAACCCATAACAGATTAGCTTCAAATGCTTTTATGAATACACATGGTAAGCAAACTTTGTACAACACTTGAGTTCTGCTCATGTCGATTCATCTGATGATGTGCCCCTGACTACTGTTTGAGGTGTGCGCGCTCAGTCACTTTCTAAATGTGCACCCCATGTATCTTTATAAGGGCAATCAATACCAAGCAGCAAGGTGAAACTGTTCGCGTGTACAGGCCTCTGTATAAAACTATACAGTACATGTAACAGATACAGTACATTCCTGTAATCCTGTTTGATAAATACAACTCCATACAGATACACACAAAGCACAGCAAAATATCTTAATTAGACTAAATCAGATCCTGTAGTCTGCTGCATAGTTAAAAGCTTACATCGACACTCCTGCTCAAAGAACGGTAAAGTGCTCGAAAACTTACATCAAGGCAACAGCAGAACTAAATGACCTTTGACCATCATCATGTGGAAAGTGGGTTTCCCAGTTAAAACAGGTGAGTACTCCTCCCGCAGTGACCAAAACTTTACCATATACTGAAATGTATGTGGCAGATTCCACTGAACGACAAATGGCATCAAACCCAACTGTGGGTTCTGCATTTTTTTAAAACTACAAACCATGACCCACAGACTGGGGTCAGAAATGTCCTTGTTTTTTAAAGAAAGTCAGATTTGATTTTTCAGCTAATATAATTAAAACCTTTCAAATAACACACAAGGTTTTCATAAATACAGTTTGCTCTTTTATTGTAGAAACCTTCACTCTTGTTTGACCGGCAAACTGTATTCACTAATACAAAGTTATCATTATTTTAAAAGGCTGACTGACCATGTTAGGCCTCAGTTACATGGGCCTAGACACCAGTTGGAGACCAACTGACAACCACCGGTTGTTAGGGAAAAATTAGTATTGCACAACCTGTTGTGTGTGGTTGCTGGCAGTCGCTGTGAAACTGACTGCTAAGCCTCAGTCACTCACTAAGTCATAGCTTTTACTTTGAAGGACAACAGTCGGTGAGTCATTATCAAGTGTTCACAGACAAATCAGCATCTTTCTTGAAAATTATGGAAGCTGTTATAATCTATGAACAAAGTAATCACATGGTGGTTTTTGGCATATCACTACATTTGAGAAAACCAGCAACCACTTTCAGCTGGTTAGGAAATGCACAGATTTCCCTAGCAATTGGAAGTTGCTGTGGCGGCGCCAAAGCCTCTCTCTTTCCAAAACATGTGCCTCTGTACACACATGTGGACAGACCACTAAAAGATAATCAGCTATAAATTAATTAACCATTAACTGCTAATCAATTTAATGTCACATTAAATGAAAAGAAATTTGCTTTTCTTTCACAAACAAGGTCAGCTCCAAGTTGTTGCAAACGTTTGAGCACTAGCTGATGTTCCTGCTGCTTGCTAAACAAGAATAAACATGATACTTCTGGGTTGAGCTAAAATGTAGTATTTCTGCTTTTTATTGCACTTTAAGTTCAAGCAATGCTAAATTTGTTGCTCTTCACATCAGCCTGTTGACCTAGACTTCGTGCCAGTTTAAGTCTTCCTGTTATTCACCATTTACTCAGCTAAAAGCTTAATGGAATCAGTGGAAAGGTGAATACAATCACTCAACACTGATTAAATTCAAACTCAACTGAATTAAAACCCAAAATCCAACGTAACATATCATTTACAGGTTCTCTACCTGAAAAACAGTCATGTGTAACAAGGATTCGCACCCCAGAAAACATGATTATGAATCACAAGGACCAGCAAACGCTTGAATACACACAGTGATCTTATCCGTCTGTAGAGGTCAAAGGTAAAAAGCCACAATATGGTTCTCATTGCTTTCTCCAACACCTGGCACACACACTTCGCTACTATTGTTTAGAGCCCTATGTAGACAGAAGTGCAGCCTCTTTAAAACCCAAGTCACAGCCATGGGCCTCTAAGCTCGTCTGTAAACTTGTTTCAGTGCAAGATATAGCTAAATGTAACAACAAGCGCGCACGCACACACACACACGCATATACACCAACACAGACTCACACGCACAAAAAACCAACAACAACAAAAAAACCCCCACAGCAGATTATAAACATGCTGCTAAAAGCACTGGGGGGCACCCGAGCTGAGGTTTAGATAGGCTTGTAAAGCAGAGAAGTGACATATTTCTTCTTGTATCTGTGAGTCGCACTCAGCACCATTACTCCATCCTAACCAGGAGAGGAAAAAACAAACAAACAAAAAACAGGCTGTCATTAAGTCGGATCCAAAGCATCAGAACAATGCAATATGCTTCAATTTGTGAAAATACCAACTACGTACATATTGGATTACTGTTGAATACGCGATTTACCACAAACCTCACCAAAGGTTTGGCTCACATTGAACCACCTAACTGATCAATTACCTAATAAATAAAAATAATGCAAGAGAACTGTAGAAGTAAGTTCTGAATGTGGTCGCTGGTGTGAAACGATTCACACCACTGACAACCCCTACCAGCTTCCCCCTTTAAAGCAGAACATCTTCCCTTTGTCTGCACAAGGACTGAAAGAACTGATATAAAACTGATATGATTAAAAATCATGTTCATGTAAACATGCTGGAACATTTAACAAAAAGAAAAAAGGGGGTGGGGGAGCAACTACTAACTTCAGTGAAAATGGGAGTCCTGAGTCATTCTGCTGCAAGTAAACCTACCTTTATTGAAAGTGCATACAGGTGATTTAGCATGACATGGTTGGGTTCAGGCAGCAGGGCAGGGTCACACTAACAACAGACAGGAGGAAAAGTCACAAAGAAAACAGTAACACGAAAAGATGAGTCACATCAGGGTTAAAAAATTATATCTGATTTGTAAACTGAGAGAAAGGTGCGAAAGGTGTAGATACTCACAGATATATTGGTGTCCTTGTTGAGAATGACTTGAAGGAGGTGAGGCGGGAGGATGGGCGGGGCTTTGAAGTGCTCCTCAGGTCTGAAGACATACTGCTCCTGTCCATATGGACCAGGAGGAGAGCTGGACAGGTCTAAAGATACAGCAATCACATTTACATGACATTTCACATACACACTTTACTCTACAGCTACTGACCAATTAAACACTAACAACAACAATAAAAAAAGCTGTATTCTTTATTGTTGTATTTATTTTGGCATTTATTATTCAACTCCTTTCCTGGGAGCTGTATTAAGACTTAAATTGCTGGGACTGTTAGTGCAAGGTCAGGAAAGGCATGCTGCAATATGACAAGGCACTTTCCAGTTACTATTTACACATGCTGATTACCTTTAGTTGACTAAATAATTCAATAACAGAGCAGGCTGACCTGACGTGTCGGAGCACTCCAAAGAGTCGACCTGAAGGGCGTCAAACACCTCAAAGTCAGACTTTTTCACATGGATCAAGTTGTTGATAGTTCCCATCTGGCTGGTTACCACCGGCTGCCGAAAAAGAGAGAGAAATCATCACAGAGGAAATGAGGAAGCATGTGTAAAATTAGCAGTTTCCTGCACAGTTTTCCCTAAGGCAAAAGAGCTATTTAGCAGCTTTCACCGAATAGAAGGGCTTTTCAAAGCTTTACAGTCCCTCTGAGGTTTCAAAGTCCACATTTTGTGAGGATAACACAATACAAGATGGATGAAATTTAAATCCTAAATTTCCACAAAGGAATGTGTCCCTTCCTTTTTGAACTGTCAGAGGTCTCTGCACCATGCCAAAATGCAGTGTGCATGATTAAGTTAATGGGGGAAAAAAATGAAGCTACTGTACCTCTGATGGATCATGCACCCACTGTCCATCTACAAAAAACTTGTACTGGTGCTCTCCTTCGGGCAGGTCCAGAATTGCCACAAAATCATTATGGCTTAGGAGAAAGTAAGAGAATGTATTAGTGTGATATCAGAAACGTTTATCTACAAACTCTCAAGCTACAGCTTTACTTATAAAAGATAATGAATGTGATAACGTACTGTTATCCACTTCCTGTTTACCTTTTATTTAGTGGTATCTTTGTGTTCCAGTTATTAAAAGAACCAGCTATGTAGACCTCCTTCCCACCTCCTGCCCAGCGGATCACAGTGGGGCGAGCCTGAGGACCAGTTTTAACCAGATCATCCAAATCTGGGGTGAATTCTTTCTCTCCTGATGCCTGAAAGTAGTAAACATATAAATCTCAAATATAAGCTGTTTTGAGAAAATAAAGCTTTCAAATCTGAGGAAGTGGTGTGGAAGACAAACGTGTTTCAATATTATAATCTGCATACCTTCAATTCGGGTCCATGCGTGTTGAAGGTGTTGGGGTCATCTGTGCTGTCCACCATCTTGCTGCTGGGTTCTTGGTCTTTGGAACTGCTGCCACTGTCTGAGCGATGGGCCTTGGCACCATGCCGATCTCCAGCCACTCTGTCACTTGTGTTGCCCATGGTGCTTCACTTTTTTTTTGCAGTGCCACTGGAAATAAAGAAAATCCATTATGTGTTTAAGCAAAAAGCAAGATCTTTCAGAAACAAGAAAAAGACTTGAAGAGACAAACAGACTGTAGGCAGAAATCAGCACTAGACATCTTAATAGCTCATGGTAATCTCCTGTTTTCCCCCCATTATAAATTGTATACATCTGATATGGATGAAACACAGTTTGTCTATGAAGCAGGAAGACCCCCCCAGGTTTTCTGGTTCTTCATTTTTAGCTGTTCAACAAACAGCTAAAAGGTGACACTACTTTCTCTTTTTAAAATTTAACTAAAAATGTAACTAAAAAAAAAAATGTAATTGTCTTTTATCTAGTTTTTAAAAAAATCATTTTTAGCTTAGTATTATTATTTTTTTTAATGAATTTTTCTTCCATGTTAAACATTTTACTGCTGGTCAATATTTCTTTTTTTATATTTGTTATGTGCCTTTTTGTTTTATTACAATCAGTCAATAGAGAAATATTTTATTTAATTTTTTTAATCCAGCCTTTAATGTCTGATAAACTTTTCATTTTTTTGTGGTTTTCAGTGTGGAACTATCTGTTTTTTATATATCTCTAATTTAACAGATCTACATCAGTACAAAACTTTTGATGCTGCTGACAACAAATTGAAAACAAGATATGAATATGAAGATCTCTTGAATAGACACCATAGTCGATCTCCATTTATCCAAAAGACAAATACATCACAGAAAGGCTATTGTGACACATGTTTAAATACAAACTGAACCTGTTACATGAAACTATTTGTTCAGCATGACAAACACCATCTTAACACGATGAGCAGCAGCCTGACTCAGGCAAAAAAGCTAAACGCCTTTGCAGTGGGGCTAACCGGCTTACCGGTCGGTAGACGGATAAAGACAGAAAGGTGAAACAGGGTCTGTCTTCTGGCCGTGTGTCTGGACTTGAATCATAAACCGCCTAACGTAAACACAATCATGCTTTCAGACATAACGTAGTAAGAAAGCCTCCGTTAGTTAACGCCCACTAGCTAAGCTACCGCCAAATCAACAAGTTTTCACCACAGAACTTAAAATAACACATACGCAATTTTGCCATTAGTAAATAATTACGAGTACTCGTACAGCTTGCTGACTGAAACCTACCGTAGTTTCCCCACCAGCTGTTCTGCTGTGTCCACCTCAGGTCACTTCGCAGGAGAATATTTTTAGCCGCTGTTTGGAGTTCAAGTTAGCTAACTGCTAGCTGTCACTGTCTACAAGCAAACGACCAAGCTGTCTGCTCCGTTTATCTGCGCCGCAACAGACACTAGTTTTTCACCATTAAGTTGTGGCAGACGGGGAAAAATCACCAACACTCTCCACCTATCTGCACACTGACTTTAGTTTGTGTTTTAGCGGAGGGCGGGCCCACCTCTCTACAACAACTGCAGAGAGCTCAGTGCTGCCGCGACTACGGAGAGCGGTTAGGACAAAAACTGTTCAAATAACCGAAAAAAAAAAAGGAAAAAAGGCTGAAGGTCGCCAGGAAGAAAACATCTATCACAAAAACGCCACAAAATGAAGAAGGTTAAGAGACACCCACAAGGAACTTCAGTAAAATAAATCGTATTTTACGACTGACTGCATAGTTAAATAAACATAGTAAGTAATAAGCAAGTAACGTGATCCCAGTGAATATACAGCATTGTGCAAATCACCTCGGTTTGTACAGTATGTCTATACCCCCTGAGGCCCCAGCTTCCAAAAATCCTGGGGTATTTAACTTGTCTATGTGGGCAGTTTCATTTGAGCTTGAAGATACGGATTATGGAGCAGGGGCTTCTTTCAGTCCTTGGTGATGTAAACTCACTTCAGTGTGGACATGACTGTGTTCTGACTGTGTTCCAGGAGTTTTAAGTTCGTGGCAGGATTGAGCCTTGATGGTTCCTGAACATCCTAACCATTTTCCTCTCATCTGACAGTGACAATTTGGGTCTTCTTCTAAACTTTGGCAAATGGATGACACATCCAAACAAGTTGTACAAGGAACAAGATATCTGGACCTGCAATTGTTTAGAAATCTGCAGCTGTTTAGCAAGAATCCAAAATTCAACTGTACACGTTTTCCCTTCCTTCCTAATTTTGGAGGATTTAATTTGTTATGGAAAAAAATGCACCCAGAAATTTCAATCAAAAATACAAAGCTGATGCAAAAATATTCTCAGTTTTTGTATTTCTGTTTCATCTCCTTCATCATAGATGCTAACCGGATGGAAGTTCCTTACTGACACCAATACAAAGTTAAAGTTCTGTGTGGAAACAAATCCACAGGTTTTGTCTTTATTGACCACTTGGCAAAGATTTCAACACATCAGACCAATTTTCCAATCAGTGATCCTTACATTACTGAGGAGGCAATATCAGCATTCAAGCCTCCCTGGAAGGACCAAGTTTCAACAGCTAATAAATTAAGACTAGTTTCAAGCTCAGAAAATGTCACATAAACTAAACACAGAAGATTGTTATCATGCATACTATATCTAAACTCCATCCACTTGGCTGCATGATAGAGTATGAAACAAATGAATGAATGTTAACTGTAGCAGGAATGTGTTGTGCGTATGTACTAGGTTGAAATGAGGATTGAAACATGACAAACATATGCTTCTTGCAAGTATTTTTCATCGTTAAATCCCATAAATAAGCATAACTGGAAACATATATACAGTAATATGTATAGTTATAAAACACATCTTCTGATGTTATCATCAGATTTACACCCACATAAGGCACATTTAAATCGTTATCAAATAGAGAGATCAGTGGTTTTCACATTGCACAAGATGTGTGTCTTCATTCACACACTGTTCCAGTGTTAATAAGTATTCGTTTGTCCAAGCCAGTTATTTTTAGTGGACAGCTGCTGATTGGAGAACAGTTTGTTTGGAACCGCTGTCACTTAGGGCAGGTGTTTACAAAATCATGTATACAGTGCATAGACATGTGAAAGGTTCAGCTGACATAGCGTCATTTTTCAAACAAAGGAAACAACGCTATGTCACGTATTTGTTTCATCACAGTTTAAAGGAATATCCGCGGCATAAATGAAATTAGCCATTATACTCAACACGTTTTAGTGTTTTTCCAGAACTGTCTTTTTGTGTGTAAATAACGCAAGTAAATGCAGGATGAATGGTATGTTTTACAGTTAGAAAAAAACATTTGAGCATGCATACCACAAATTATTAATGCTTTTACTACTGGCAGACGGCTCTTAAAACATGCACTCTATGCTTGATCGCCGTCTGTCTTTTTGGAGTTATTTCAGGCATTTTCAAGTCTGACATATTAAGTAAACTTTTTTTTTGCAGTATCATTTAGAGATCCCTAAGCCACTCTTCATATACTCATAAACCACGTAGCTAATGCTGACTGCAGGAATGACTTTCATGAAGTTCGGCAGGATGCCCCGGTAGAGTCCAAAAACACCATCTTTGGCTACAATCTCCTTCATCAGAGAACTCATAGAAGGCTGGTTTGATGGTTCCAGAGATGCTGCAAAGAAATATTAGCTATGTTAGAGAACCAATTAAAAAGCAAAAAATAAACTCACTGGCCACTTTGTTAGGTACATCTGCCCAAGTGATGTAATGCAAATATGTAATCAGCCAGTCACATAACAGCAACTCAACATATTTAGACATGTAGTCATGGTCAGGACGACCTGCTGAAGTTCAAACTGAGAATCGTTTAAGTGACTTTGATTGTGGATGGTTGTTTTTGTCAGACAGGCTGGTCTGACCATTTCAGCAACTATTGATCTGCTGGGATTTTCCCACACAGTCGTCTCTAGGGTTTATAGAGAATAGTTAGAAAGAGAAAACATCCAATGAGTGCCAGTTCTCTTGGTGAAAATGCCTTGTTGATGTTAGATAACATGTAAGCATGGATCCATCCTGTCTTGTATCAAACAGTTCAGGCTGCTGGCAGTGTAATGGTGGAAGAGATACTTTTTTTTAGCACATGTGGGGTCCCTTAGTACTAGGGATGGGTACCGATATCCGGTGCCATTATGGCTTCTGTTTCTGACATAAACGGTAGTAACCAGACCGAAAAGCAGCGCACATTTCGGTGCTTTTTTTTCCTGAGATGTCATACACTTTAGATTCTAGCCAATCATTTTACCTTTCCAAGGATAGTAGGCGGGCCCAGGTACGTATGTTCTTTTAGAGCAGAGCTACAGATTAAAAATGCCCAAGGCAAAGCGGTCAAAAGTCTGACTGTACTTCACAGCAACAGATGCAAACTCAGCAGCCTGCAACAAGTGCTTTAAGGTGATACTGGGCAAAGGCGGAAACACCTCGAATCTGATGAAACCCCTGGTGACGCATAGCATTTTTTTAAAAGCCGAGAAATGCACCGTATTTGATAGCTTGTTGCAAGAGCTCACACCGAGCACATCTACTGTGGATGTGGTAAATCTCCATTAGCGAGTTAGTGCAGATCGCCCTGTGCGTGGGGCTGGACGGTGCTTATCATTTTGCAGAAAAAAGAGACTGCTGAAAATAAAAACATAAGAGGTTTTTGGACAAAGTTTGTGTTCTCCATTCTTTAAGCACCGGTTCAAGCACCGTTTAAGCACCGGCACCGTTTCAAAAGTACCAATTTGGCACCCTACTTAGTACCAACTGAGCACTGTTCAAGCACAGCAGCCTACCTTAGTATTGTTGCTAATCACACCCATCCCTCTATGACCACAGTGTACCATCTTCTGATGGTTAATTCCAACAGGATAAAACCCCATATCACAAAACTCAAACCATCTCAAACTGAGATTTTGAACATGACAATGAGTTCACTGTTCCTCAAATGGCCTCCACAATCACCAGATCTCAATCTAAGAGGAGAGTCACATTGTGGATGCCAGTATGAACCAAGGATTGTCTCTGGGGAATGTTTCCAGCACCTTGCTGAATCTATGCCAAGAAGAATCCAACCTGATAATAGCAACATGTAACTAATAAAGTGGCCAATAACAGCCAACATTTTTGTCTATTTGTTTCTTTACTCATATAACACTGATTTGTCAGTTTGTGAGCCCATGACCCTGTCTAAATGTTACACTCAAAAAACAACTTTCATCTCAAAGTGAACAACATTAAAGAGGAATGTCCTTTTTCAGATGGAGCCCCTTTACATTACGTGGGCTGTAACGCAAGTATATATTTACAGAAAACATGGATCACTTTTACAGAACCTTTACACCGTCAAATGCATCCCGCCCACCTTGAAAAATATTGTGCTATTATTATGTTACGAAGGGGCTACCTAGTTATGTCATTACTATTTTCAAATATCAGGCTGTGTTTACCTTGTGCTTGCATCCGAGTGCGCACAAGTGCGAGTGGATAGCTTGCCAGCTGGCCACAGGTACTAGAGATGGTCCCACAGCCCAGCAACACCAACACTCCAGGGTTGGCTGACTCAGTGGCGTAATGTGCCAACCAAGTGTTCTTTAGAGTCTAGAGAGTTATGATAAGAGAAAGGAAAATTCAGCTAATGTGCAAAATCAGCATAACAACAAAAATTTCTCTCATTTAATTTAATGCAACTCTGCACGATGGATTGGTTTAGTGTGCATATAAATGATCTAATTAACTAAAGTGCAATCCATTGTGAAATATCCATGCGTCACAAAGCCAGCATACCTCATAAACAGCCAGGTCTATCCCAGCGTAGGGAAGGATGCCCAGTGAGTTTGGTACGTAGCCCTTGTAGAAAGCTTTAACGCCCTCCTTCCTCAGGATCTTCTTGGCACAATCAAACATTCCTGCATACTGGCCAGTTTTCCTAAGGGTCAACCGAGTCTTTAATACCTAAGAGAGAAGCAATGCATAAAAAATACAAAGGAGGTCAGATTCGGTTGGTTTGCGTGGAGAGGAGGTTTTACCACATCCAGTGAGGCTGCATCACAGATCTTGTTACCTCCATTGGGTAGATTGTTGTCTGTGCTGTGGCCCCAGCCAGAGAGCCAGCCAGAAACCTCTGGTGGGTCTCAATCTTCGCTCCTTCTGATGATAACAACCTCTTATACTGTAACAGAAAACGTAAAAAGCCAGAATATTTGTTACTACATTTAATAGCTGCAAACAGAAGTATTTTATAAAAAATTCACATTTCAGCGGTATGGTTCCTTACTTGTTCGTATGCCATGAACTTAATCGCTGTCTCGGGTGCAATCTTTAAAACATTTATTCCATTTCCCCTCCACAGCGAAGTCACACCTCCTTCTACAATCATTTGCTTAAAGCCCCCTAGCAGACTTATCCGGTTGGCCTTTGAAGAATGAACCTGCGGTGCAAATATATGCTTTAAGTAAAACACGGTCACAGACATCTATTTATCCATCTATTTGTTCCACTTCTGTCATATTTGTCACCTGCATGAAGACTTTCACTCGGTCCAGTGGGGCAGTACCAGTACGAGAAACAGCCCCTGCCGCAGCACCTGCAACAAGCTGCTTCCACCAGCCACCTGTGCTCTTCTCTTCCTCTGTGAATTCATCTGGGATGGCAAGACTGTCACCTATGTCCAGAACCTAGTGATTACATAAGCAGATTTACTCAGCGAGACCAAATCCATGAACCCTGGCACATCTGATTTACAGTCATGGGAAAAAGAAAGCTCTCACAGGACTCTAAGCAGTCCAGAACCATCTTTAGCAACAATAACGTGAAGTATGATCATTTTTATCAGTCTTTTGCATCAATGTGGATGAATTCTTATTTAAAACATTGCTTTACTTCATTGAGGTTTGCAGGCACAGCTCTCTTAAGGTCCCACCCCAGGATTTCAGGTTGAAGTTAGGACTAGAGCCTGACTAAGTTAGAACTTTTAAGACTGATACCAATACCAGTATCTTGTGATTTAAAAATCTGATGTATCAGCTGATATCTTCATTCTTTCAGACACATAAAACATAAACACATTTTCCTAATTTTTGCTTTGTTAGGGAAATATGTGTAGTTATTTATGGTTACTGATTGCTGTCTGAGGGACGAACTATGCATCATCTACATTCATAACAAGGCAGAAGCCTGTTTCTCCCATCTCTTCTTTACTACATATGCACCGATACCAATATATTGCCCTACTCATATATCAGTCAGGCTCTAGTGTGGAGTTTGACTGGGTCACTGCAACACTTTGATTCTTTTCTTTTTCAGCCATTCTGTTCATTCTGCAAGACAGGTGACCTCATATTTGACTCTAGAATACTTAATTATACAGAGGGGTTCGTACTCAGTGGCTGCATGGTACTTCCTCCTCTGTGCTGGCAGCTGTTATGAGGCGTTTGTGCTGATATGCTGAGTTTGGTTTTCACAGCTTTAAATATATCGATGTGCATTATGGCCAAACATCTCCAGTTTGGTCTGATCTGTCCAAATGACATTGTTTTCACAAGACTGCATAGAGTCCTGTGAAAGCCTTATTTTTCTTCTGACTGCATGTCTGTGAGCAGACGGGATAATACTGTAGGTACAAACACAGACTCTTATTAGTATTTCTCTTTCTGTGTAATACACATTATAAAATGCCTTAAAGGTGAATTTAATTGCCTTTGATAATGAATCTTTAACTGAAGGGTTTCTTTGTGTGGTTTCAAATGTACAAGGTCAACAACAACTTCTCCTTTTTGAGGTCAGTGATGCAGAAGCAGTTATATTGTAACTAGAAGGCAACATTTACAAAATCTTCAACATGAGCTGTCAAACAAAAGATGAAAACATTATGAAAAAACAACAACAACCACTATTTTAGATGTGTAAATCATTTAAAAGGGTTGTAAAAAAGGATATGCAGTGCGGAAAAGCTGAAACCATTTGAGCCAAAGAATGATTTGAGCTTCTTGTCCTTTCACTAGAATAACTACTGAGCTGAATAAACCCTTATCTAGTATATGCAGCGTTTCCCCAAAGCATAAAGCACTACTGTGAGCTCTATTTGAAGCTGAAAGTCAAACTTAGATTGCCCAGTGGGAATTTTCAACTGTAACGCCGCCTCAAGTTAGACTTACAACTCAAGATGTCAGTGCAGCCCCACCAAACCTGAATTAACAATCCAACATGGCAGCAGTGTACGAAAACACAGTAAAGCTGTACAACTTGTAACCTGTACTATCAATGTTGTATAGCTCCCTAAATGAGCCACACCCAGAGCACTGACCAGACTCTATCCATGAATGTCCTGCAGCACTGTTTATAAGTATTGCCAGTGATAGATACCTCAAGGCTCTACCTTGCTAAGAAGCGCAACAAATCCTGTTTTCCCTCTTTTCCTACTTTAATACTGGAGCACGCTCAGTTCGGTAGAGACACCCAGCTCTGATATCTGACTTCTGAGATAAATGGAACACATCATTAGTTAAAAACACACTCTACTCGCAGTCTAATGGAAAGCTAAGCGGAAAAGCAAGCGTTCTTGGACTTGCTGCAATCATCTGTAGGGCACGTTTCCTGTATGACAATGCAGTTCTGCCTGAAAAAGACTTCTGAAAATTCAGATACAAGCTCTGTGAAGGACAGGCACTGTTTGGCTCGTGGCTGAGCTAAAATCTTGCGCTCAACAAGTAACAGAGCAATCAAAGATGTCTTTCTTAGCACTAGCAAGAGGTGGAGGAGTGAGCTGGGGGGGGCAGAGTGTGCTGCTATGACCTAATTATCTTGCCCAGGTCACCACTTCCAAAGCTGCTGCCTTGTGTGAACTGCAGAGGAAATCTATAAAGCTAGCACGAAAGGACTACACAGCATGTGATTCACTTCACAGCAGCTGCCTCTGTGCGTGTACGTCTACTAAAAGCACTTGTCTGTGATACAGACAGTATATGTGAGTGATTTTATATGATACATACTGAGGAGTGTTTCCAGTAGCGTATAATCTCTTCCAGGTTGTGAGCAGGGCATAACAGGAAGTGTTCCCTCCACTCGTTCCAGTCAACCATCATGGTTCCATCTATATCCATGCTGAGGAAACACAAGTTTTTATCCTATGAAATGTATGATTATTGTATGGAAGTACACTATCCGATCACATATACTTCACATAATCTTAAATTGTATTCTTCAGACACATTGTAACCAGACACATGTCACAGTGTGTAAAAAGTGGAGGTCAAACCTCTGTAAGATTTTTAGGGCATCCTCTCCGCTGACATCTATGCCCAGCTCTGCAAGAGACTGCTGGATCTCTGAGGAATCGATGCGCCCTGACACATAAACACTCCAGTGAAACAAGCTGCAGTATGTGACTGTGTAAACATTCACTGGAAAGCCATGTGACCAAAGCACAGCATTCATTTATTTCTTGCAACCTCGCTCCTCTTCCTACCATCATCATTTTTGTCCAGGCTCTTAAACGTCAGCCACAGCTTCTTCTCGTGCTCCTTCAGATACTTGATAAACTCGTTGAAGTCCAGGCACCCGTCTTTATTTTGGTCACCAGATGACACTATTTTCTGTAAGGTAGAGATATAGTGTAAGTGTCTCTTCAGTTATATTCACACTGTCTCACTCTGTCTCTAAAACACACACACACGCACACACACACATACACACAAAGGGTGTAAAGTTGCATGCAAAACGAGCAGGCCAGGACTTGAAACTCATATCTCTGTGTGAGTCCTCTCCCTCAGCAGACTGATATTTACCTGTGCAGCACCCTGGCGGAATATGCCCATTGCCTTGAGGCCCTCTCGTAATTCAGCAACATCCACCTTCCCATCTTTGTTGGTATCGAGCTTTTCAAACAGGTCCTGGTACGACCTCTCACTGTCTGTATCCCAGCACCGGGCATTTGACAGTAACGTCCGTAACGTCTGATACATTGTAGAGCTAATGTGCAAACTGGGTCCAGACCTGATCCGTCCTGCAGTCGGAGTCAAATTAGCAATCCATACGGAAAATCACCCAAAAATCCAATGCAAATCCAATGCAATCCACATGCGAACTCGTCGTCGGCAGTGACAAATCGGGCTTTTACTCGGGTTATTCTGCAGCCTGCCCTATGCAAAGGTGCGCTCCGGAGCGTTTCGGGGGAACTGCAGTGATCTGTGGGCGGAGCAGTGTAGGCTACGTAACTACGCGGTGTTTTTTACGGAAAAGCGGGAAACATGGCAACATATGAAAGCGGTGGAGAAAAAAATATATAAAACTCACGGAGGGACCATATGCATAATCCGGCTTATGATTTTAAACCCGAAGTTAATCATCGTTTCCCCATGTGACATGTGAGAGTGCATAACAGAGGACATTTAATCTCTTCATCTAACAGGACGTGTGAGTACAGCGCAGCACCGGTCCTCTCCAGCAGAGGGCGACGTTTCACTGCACAGAAACAGCAACGGGGTAATACTAAACTGTATGCATAGCACACTGAGGTTATTATAGGTAACTAAACCAGATTTCAGTAAACTTGAATTACCCCCCCCCCCCCCCCCCAAAAAAAAAAAAAAAAAAAAAAAAAAAAAAAAAAAAAAAAAAAACACAAAAAAAAAAAAAAAAAAAACAAAACAAAACAAAAAAAACCTAACTTTATAAAAAAAAGCAAAAACGAACTGAACAAACAAGCAGTCCCTGACATGAAAGCCTTTGTGTTGTTTGTGTTGTAATATTTGTTCTACACCTTTAAATCGTACCCTTGATAAATGTTTCTGTACTATAGCAAACAAAAAGACAGGCAAACCAAGCTTAAATATGAACAATCAAATCCACTTTGGAAAATAACTGAAAGTAAATTGGACTGAAAACCAAAGCATTTTAAAAAGTAAATAAAAAGGCAAAACTATAATATCTCTGAAAGGCGCACACTCTCAGAAAAATTATAGTTCTTAAATGTTCTTCAAAGAACCATTTTAAAAAAGGTTCTTTGAAAAACCATTTCTTAATGGTTCTTTGGGGCACCTTTAGAGGTTCTTCAGTGAACTACTGAAAGAAATGGTTCTTCAAAGAACCATTGCTTGAAAGGTTCTTTGTGGCATTAAAAAGGTTCTTCTATGGTATCAGTCTAAAGAACCACTTTTGGTTCCAGTTGACACCTTTATTTTTCTGAGTGTAGAGTAGCCTATACTATATGTGCTGATAACTGCTATTTCAGCCTGTTGACTGGTTATGCATCAGCTCAGGATTGCTTAAATTTGAGCGACTTCTGGTTTATTTTGTGAACGGTATAAAAGTCACGTCTAACCACAAGTTGGATACTTCCTGCCATTCAAATGGATGACACCCAAAAGTGACCGCACGTCTACATTACTGACAAATGAGGCTATGTTTTAGATAAAGAAAAAAAAGCTTTTATCCATCAGTCTTTTAGTAGATTCAAACATCTCCACCATAAGCTAGAAGATTAAAGCTGCTCACAGCCATAATGTGCTATCTGGTACTTTTCCCATGTGTTGTTTTTATATATTTTTATTTTTCAGTAAAGCAACTGAACGCATTCAATTTAAAATTTATTAAGATAATTCTTTCATCTCTCATATCACATCCTGTTTGCACGTTGTTCTATTTTTATCTTGTTGAGGTAGTCTACTTTATTTAGCTGATTTTATTATAGAATGTAAAGTCATGTGAAAAACAAAGATTTCACCGGACTGCATCTAGTCATGCGAAAAACAAAGTAAATCCGTCCTTATTTCAGGGTAATTACGCGATTAAGTAACAACCAGGTTTATTAATTGATCAGGAAGTATGAGCATCTCTTTAAAAGCGGGGATTTTGGCAGTTTGCTGATTTGAAGCGTTCAGTCTTCCCAGGAGTGGATGCCCAAGCAAATTCAGCCCAAAGCCACAGCATGTGATGCTTAAAGAAATAAGAAGAATATCACACCACAGTTTAGGTTTGCAAAACTGCCTCAGAACAAACCACGCGATATCTGGACTGATATCCTTTGGACAGATGAGAACAAATTGGGGATGTATAGCCATAATGAACAGCACCACATCTGTAAAAAACTTTTTCGCATAACTTTATTCAGGTTTTTCAAACCTTTTTTGTGAAAGTAAATGTTATCATATTTTATTATTATTTTTGTCCCCAGCTAGCAATTATATCTGTAATGATCACTTTGTTCACTACTGATAGAAAGATAAGATAAGATAAAGGTCAGGTTAAACCGTATACAGTCTGAGATGACATTGTTCCATGCATTTATTAACAACGTTTACATTTTAATAGTGCTAACTGCGGACAACTCAACTTTAAACCATCTTGTTTTGCATTTCCTCCTTTTGTCACATGCCACCTTCTGTTTTGTCTTTTATGGTCAGTGCTGACCCCCCACAAGAGGTGTTGCTCGTGTTGCCCCAGTGAGTTTCAGCCACACTGTAACAACTGTACCAATACCCACCTACACACGTTAAATTCGGGCTGTCGGCATTTCTCTTTTTTTCTTTAACCTAGCTGTCCAATCACACCGCGGAATTTCCCTGGCGTCATTAATATTGTGTTTCAGTGGGTGGGAAGGAAGAGATTTGAACTTTGAGTCGTGTCTGCAGAGCAGCGACAGCTGAGTGAGCAGCAGAGACAGCTCGGAGAAAGTGTTCGGCTGTCTACCACCTCCACAGCTTCACCCGGATACTTGGGCTGCACAGTCTTACATCATGTCGTTTATTCTTATGAAGAAAAAGAGATTTAAATTTAAGGTGGACTTCGACTTGGAGGAATTGTCGTCAGTTCCCATTGTCAACGGAGTTTTATTTTGTAAAGTCAGACTACTGGATGGAGGTTTTGCTGAAGAGTCCTCCCGGTAAGATTTTTCTTATAATTTAATTTAGCTATTTATAGCAACAGGTCACTAGTTGTTTGGCAAAACTTTCATCAGTCAGGCCCAAATTCAGCTTATTTTTGACACCTGTTTGCATTTATTGCGTCGTGGTTGCTTCTTCGGTGCCTACAGCATTCCGCTGTATTCGTAGCTGACGTTTAGCTAACTCAACACCAGCTGTTCGCTAACTTAAACTACTTAAACTTACCTCAACGACAGTTGACGAACTGTATGTAAGGAGGCAACAGACCAGACCAGCAGAGTGATTTAACGCAGTAAAACGAACACAGAGACTCTCGTTCGTCGTTTCAAGAGACAGATACTTTTTTTTTAATCTAACCCATATTTGTAAAGTTTATCTAAGCAGTTGCTAAGCAACAACTGCTGTTAATTGTGTAGTGGAACAGTGAGACCACCGGTCGACGTTGGGATATTAACAATAATGGTTAACATTGGGATGTTTGTTTATTTAATATAACACTGACTCTGGTTGAAACAATTATTTAAAGTTATACTTTCATTCATTGTTTTTCTAATGATTAAAAAAAGAAAAATCTACAGTAATCACTTGTCCCTAATTTATGGCAATGAGAAGCCCCAGGCTCATGCTAGGTCATAGTCTCCTGGGACGTTTACTGCACGTTACTTTAATGAGTCACTCTGGAAAAACGGAGTCGGAAGCGCTGGCCCTCATTACTTTGCTATGGTAACTCTCCCTAAACTATTGTGTAAACACGGTATTCTTAAGTTTATCCTGCCTCAACCACTGCTTTTTATTTCCTGCTTCCTTTGCAAATAACCTGCAGATCTATCTATCTATCTATCTATCTATCTATCTATCTATCTATCTATCTACCTATCTATCTATCTATCTATCTATCTATCTATACCTTAAAAAAACAACAATAAAACAACTTTGTTCCCAAAGTCAGCAAAGTTGTATCTATCTATCATTCATTTATTTGGCTGATTTTTCAGATTTTGCCTGGTGATCCTGTGCATGGAGCTTTTGTGTCTCAGTGATTGTAGATGTAATTGCTTGATAATAACTTGTCCAAACCATAACTTATTTGCATTCAGTTTCATTGCACATGTGGAACAACAATAAAGATGTGTTCTGTTTTATTCTACTGCCCAAAAAACTGCCTGGCTGCTTTTGTGGTTTTGAGAGCTGCTTTTAGAAGGACAGTATAAAAACTATTACTATTATATAATATATAGAAGCATCTCATTATACTTCCTGAAAACCTGCATACAAAATAAAACTGTGACATTCCCTAACATAAAAGAATGTGCTAAATTGATACGCACGTTTGTTACTCAATATCAGACTATTGAAGTTAAATAATTGCCGAGGATGACATATCTCAAGACATCATCTGATAGACAACGAGGGACAAGGGTTTGAAATTAGCAATAGCTATAAACTTTATATGCAGCACATCAGTTTGAGAATTGCCGAAGCATAAAAGGAGCTTGTTTACTGCTTGAATAAGTGCTAATCTTTTCTTCTCCACACATTTGGAAGCTATTAAGATACTGTGATATATCTCTATGTCCACTAGTGATTAAACCCACTTGTCTTACAGGGAGCCCGTCCAAGCCAACTGTGTGCGCTGGAAGAAGAAATTCTCTTTCATGTGTAAGATGAGTGCCAACGCTGGGACGGGTGTGCTAGACCCCTGTGTGTGCCGTGTGTCGGTGCGCAAGGTACAAAACCCTTTGTTTCTGTTTTGCTGACACAATTGAGAATGCACAGTGTGAGTTGTTCCATAGCCATAGTTCATGAAGTGAACAGAGACTTGAGTGTCTATTTACATAAGGTTAGAAGAACTGTTGTAACTTCAACACTGCAGTTCATTGTTGTTCACGGACTTTAGTTGTCCTGCAAAAACTTATAGAGGCAAGGAATAGTAAATAAACAGGCAAATGATGTGATATCACTTTTTTTGTCATTTCAGGAATTGAAGGGTGGAAAAACATATGCAAAGGTAACACTTTTCTTCTAAAGTGTGTAGAATTGTTGTGGTGGAAAAAAATCTGCTTAATAACAAGTCTTATCAAACCTTTCTAAGATAACGATGATAACCAGACCTGCCCTGAGAATTTTTTTTTTTTTAATAGCTTGCAGTTTCCGGCTTTGGTCACTGATTGGAAAAAAAAAGACTGACATGTTAACCAATAACTCCAATGAGGAGTTAAAGAATTAGGCAATCTTATTTCTCAAGTTTCCAAGATCCCAACTCATGCAGGTTACATTGTTTCCCATAACTAGACCTGCATTGAATTTCTGTGTTTGTAGGACTTAAATCTCGTGATCCTTTGTAAAAAAAATAAATAAATAAAAACCTATATTTAAGGTATGTCAGCTGACTTCTAATCAGTTCAAACTTGTTGAGTTGTCACTTTTTACTCTGCACAGCTGGGCTTTGCTGACTTGAACCTGTCTGAGTTTGCGGGGTCTGGCAGCACAGTACGACGCTGTCTCCTGGAGGGATATGACACAAAGAACACCAGACAAGATAACTCAATTCTCAAGGTATGACAATGATGCTAGACACACAGCTTTAAAACAACAATAAATAAGATGGAAAGGAACCTTAAGACTATCTATCACACTGGTGATGTGTTGTCACAGCTCAGTAGTTCACTCTTGTTTGTCTGTTCACATTAAGAAAACTAAGTGAATTTCTCAATAGACAAGAACACGTGTATATTTGAGGAAGCTGAATGTGTGACATACATTGGAAAAAAGTGAGTGCCCTGAAAGCTGAGACAAGACATGTCTGAGCTTGTGACTTATAAACTACCTGCGCTTTGGGAATGAGGTTAAAATATACGTGTTCATCCAGGGGCAAAAAGAAAGACATGTAATCAACTTTCTCAGAAAATCTTATTATATTAACCACACTTAAAAGATACAGTGTAAACCAAACTAGAAAGCAGAAAGCTGTATGCCTTTGTATTCCTTTCTAAAGCTGCCAATCCTGTTGCTCTTGTCTCTGTCACAGGTTGTCATCACCACACAGCTTATGTCTGGAGATCCCTGTTTTAAAACGTAAGATTGCTTCTTCAACCTAACATCTCACACGTGCAACTAAGAAATTCTTAAATTATCTTTTTTTAGTATATATATATATTTATTTATTTAATTTTGATAAATACTCAATTTAGTTTGCATGCCTAACTGCAAAGCTTTATATTTGTGGTTGCAACGAAAGTCTGCTCCTGAGGTATAAACGTCTGCTTCTAACCTCAGAGGAAGTGCTTTCTTGACTTCCTGTCTGTCCTAAAGTGACACCCTCACGTATGTTATCAGTAATGAGATCCAGAGAAGTAATGGCAAAGTACTTTGTAGGTAAGGCCTTATTGTTGTCTTATCTGAGAGCTAATGATGCCTCACCCAAAACATTGAGCTGCCCAACCTTAAGAGTGACCAATGGCTGATATGTGATCAGAAGCTTTACGTAGAACAGGTTTGTCGCAAACGATGTGATGTAACATCGCACTCCTGGCAAAGACTGTACCATGTGCAAACAGTAAGCTGCCTTTCTTGATATTTCTTTCCTGTTTCAGCTCATGCTTAGTGTAATAACACACAAGCTGTTGCCCTGGAGATGTCTAGAGCTTAGTCACCCAACCCACAAAGTGTTACTCATTGTGTGTGTGTGTGTGTGTAGGATTTACAACGCGGAGGAGAAAGGATGCTCTTTTTTCACACTTTGTAGAACTCGCGTTACTGTGCCTTTTGTTGTTTGCCAAACTAGAGGTTGCTCATAACTTGCTTATAACTAATACTAACCAGTGTGATCAAACAGCCAGTTGTTTATGAGTAAATGTGTTTGAATATTATCGTCAAAGCTACACAGAAAGTGTGTTTACATGGATGGTTGATATTTTGACTTGGCAGTAAAAGCACCAGCTGATTCCAGTAGGGACACACCAGCTGTGAAGCCAACATGGTTTCTGGCTGCATGTGTTTTTGAATTTGCCCTTCATTTTAATGTCACCTACATACGTAAAACATGCACTTTATACAGTTGTGGCAGAATATCTACCCACCACAGACACACTTGCATAGAAACGCTTACCAAAAGTATTCAGAAACCACTTATGTGTTATTTCCAGCTATAGTAGGTGTCTATGATAGCACAAACATAGATGAAGTCTTACTCACAAGGTGAAAACACCAGCGACAGCTGTTCCAGCTGTAGCAAAAGGTGTCACAGTTAAATCAGTGAGCAACCCGGCAAGCTCACCTAGTCGTGAATTATCAATTCAGTAACCAGCTGTGGTTTCCATGCCACGATAAGCCAAAAGGTCTGATGTAGGGAAGCTTTGTTTACATAAGTTTTAATGAAGTTAACCAAAAACTGTGTTCCCTTTAGTCCCCCATCTACAGCCATGACTCTGGGGATCCCACAGGCAAATGCAGAGGGTCTACTTGAGGGGAGGAAAGGAGGAGACATGCACATATCACACTCAGTCTCTGGTACGTATATGTAGCTTATGGCAAATACCCTTTAATCTTACTGGTCAGTTTCTTACAGAAACACAGATATTTTTTGGGAGACTGTAATGGGGTCGACTATGAAATCAATATTCCTTAATCATGACACTGGATAGCAGTAGCTGCATTTACGTTTTATCATGTTTTGTTATGATTTTTCAATTATGATAACAAAGCTATAAAAAATGTGTGATTTCTATTTAATTTACTGCAATTTACTATAATTTGCTGAATACATCACTTTTTTGTAACAGGGACTCCAGGAAAGTCTGTATCAGTGCCAGAGGAGCTGGTAACGTTTGGTCACTCTCGAACACCCAGCTATGCAAGTCAGCTGTCGAAAATTTCAGGTAGAAATACTGTGACACACATTTATTCACTTTAATCATTGGAAATGTTCTCATATTTATTTACTATATGGGTTTTTCCCCTTCACATGCTGTAGGTTACAGCTCAAACAACTCCAGTTTAACAGATCTGAGCCATCGGCGGAGCGGGTCAGGAGGTTCTGCCTCTACGGGCATCGGCAGCATCCTTGAACACAGTGATCAGCAGGTGGAGAGAGGAGAGAAGGAGACTAAGACTACTCCCCCAGTCCCTGCAACTTATCATCATACGTTTGACAGCCCTGCAATACATTTAAAGGCTCAAAGGTGATACAGACAGTTACTCTGGCCTTGGAATAGTATGCTATTGATAAGATGGTGGTCTTTTGACCACTATTACATTATTTCCATGCTCTATTTAACCTGATGACAATGTATAGTATTTCCTAATTATAAATGACTTTTTTTTTTTCTTGGTGTTTGAACCCTGTATTTGCAATACTGACCCATATTTCTCTTCCCTTGTTAGACACCCAGTCAAGCAGAACTCTGTGGAGAATCAGCTGAAAAGAGTCGATGCGACCAGAGTGGATGCAGATGATATAATTGAGAAAATCCTCCAGAGCCAGGATTTCAGCCACGGATTCTTGGACTCCAGTGCAGAGGGTGTGTACTCCTGATCTTGGTGTGGAATGTTTCCCACCATGTTGCAGATGGGATCAAGTTACTTTGAGGTGTCGCAACAGTGTAATGTCTCTAGGGGTGAATTCAAGTCCCTAGTATGAAGTGAGTGTATGTATGAGTATGAGTATAAACCAATCTTGCCAAAGATGATTCATCTTTCATGAAGAATTGCATAACTTCTCACAGTAATGCCATGAGGTGTGGTTTAAACTCACATCTGGATAGCTACCCTGTTACAAAGTCTTAGAGAGAGAAGAGTTGTTTGTTGTGTTGAGATTAAGAAAGGATGAGTCTCCCTGTTTATTGAGACAAATGTTGCACACATTTTTGTGTGGAAATGCATCCTCAAGTATAAACTACCTACCTCTGTTCCTGAAAAGATCTTGCTTGCCTAAAACTCATTTATTGGTTGATTTAACCTTAAAACAAGTGGGGCATTTTTTAAGCCCCGACTCTAGGAGCTGATTTTCGTTTTTCTTATTTCTAATGTGTATTTGTGTTTGTGTTGCTGCAGAGGAGGGGCTCAGCTTGTTTGTTGGTCCTGGAGGAAGTACAGCTTTGGGAAGCCAGCACATGAGGTGGGTTTGATTATGTAACCATGGGTTGGGGGTGCAAGACACCAGACACCAAACATTTACTATAAATATGAGCAATTAGAAGAAGGCTAAATAAGGGTTCTGATAAGGACTCTATGTATCTGCTTTATACTCTGTGTAACTGGTCTTCATGTTCTATACTTAAGGGGCACATTTTCATAATAAAATCAGATCTGCCAGATCAGATGGCGATCCTTATATTGTGTGTGTTTTCCTGTGTCCTGTAACAAACTGCGGCATTCTCTTTCAGGGTCGCAATTGGAGCCTTTGAGCAGGTGGTCATCAAGCGCTAGGCTTTGGAAAGCACGTGTCCCCACAAAGGGCGCTGTATTATTCTGATGCAGAGGCCAAAGGACTGAACAGTGGCTTTACCATCAGAACTTGCACCATCTCATTCCAAGGGAGATCTAATTTCTCTTATGCAATCGCTCTCCAGCTGATGTGCAGCTTAGCCAGGACAGCCCCCTAGTGTTCAGGAAGTGGAGCTGAAGGCCACGTTATTGAAACGTTTTGCAGACTGAGATAATTGGTGCACTGATCTTCTTGTCCTCTTTGGAAAAAGTAAGACATACTGTAAGTCTTCTGCTTACCCCACTTAGTGGCATTTTAATGCTGGGGTTTTCATTTTAAAAATGCTTAAAATAATTCCACATGTCCGTTAGATGTCTTTGGTACAGCTGTGATTTTTTTTTTTTTTTTTTTTTTTAAATTCACTTGAAGTGACAAGCCAAAATGTCTGTGTCAGTAGATTTGTTTTGGTTTTGGTATTTAAGCTGCAAAAACAAAAGAGGGTTGTGGAAGAAATATGGCATATGAATGTGGGTTAAAGAGGGTTTCTTTCCTCTCTCTCATTTTTTAAACAGGTGTTTTCTGCAAGAAAGGTAAACTTTTGACATCTGTGAAAAGGATTTTATCTAAATGTAGATTCCAGACAATTGCACACCTCTACCTATGTAAAATCTAAGTATTATAAAACTGACAATGGTTATAGTTGGTTGGTTGGTTATTTATTGTGGTTATAGTAAGATTTTATTTTAATAATTCATGCTCAATACGAATGAACACCTTTCTTCATCTGGTTGTGATGAAGGGTTACAGCATTGAAAATATTGACATTAATACAGTTAATTGTGTGTGGATGTTAAGTTAATCATAATCATAATCATCATAATAATAATACTAGTAATATATTTTTAGTCACAAATTTGTTTTACCAAATTAAAGATGTACAATGCTTAATGTATATTTTGCTGCCAAATATACATCTTTGTACAGCATCTGTATCAGTATGTCATTCTGACAACCTGCTGGTTATCATCACATGCACAAATCTGTTTATAGAGATTAACTGTATATACACTCAGTCAGTTTGTTGACATTTTCCTGCATTTATTGTCAACGTTTTTAAATAAAAACTTTAATTCTGGAAAGTTTCTATCTAGTATTTGTGCTTCATTTCTAAATCCTAGTGCAGAAGAGTATGAAAGACAGCCACATTTCAACAAAATAATTAAAAAGGAAAGTAAATACTGAAAGATAAATCTCGATGTTTGGAATAACTGGATTTTGTGTCTAAATTCTTTAAATGTACATGCCAAACCCTTGGTTTTTTTAAAAAATAAGAATATAAAAATTGACGATGCTACTTCCGGTTTGGGGAAAGCCTTTTCAAAGTAAGAATTCGCTAACTACATTCACACGAATACCAACAGAAAGCTTACGTGTTTTTAATTATTTATACCTGGATATAATTGTAAAACCACATCTTTTAAAACCGTATTTGTTTGACCTGTCAAATATAACTTAAACCATTCATGCGAGCTTGCATGCTTTTATTTTAAAAGTTAAACGCGCTGACGTATCAACGTCGCAGGACAGCAGCAGTGCACCACAAACGTCACACTTCCGGTTCCACCTCGCAGTACTTTAGCTACACCGACGGCGGGAAGTTATTATCATCAATTTAACTACATTTCACCAAGGATTAAACAGGCAAATTTATTAACGGTCGACAGTTCACTACCTAATGTTGATGGATCTGTAGCCGGATAAACGCAAAAAATTAAAGAAAGCATAGTGGTGGTGGATTCAGCTAACATGGCTACCGTCGGAAACCAGCTACCAACGCAGGCCGTTAGCAAGCCTACATCTGGAAAACATGGAAACGTACTGCCCCTGTGGGGCAACGAAAAGACTATGAACCTTAACCCAATGATTCTTACCAACGTGCTGTCTTCGCCGTATTTCAAAGTACAGCTTTATGAGCTAAAGACCTACCATGAAGTTGTGGACGAAATCTATTTCAAGGTAACGATAACAATAACATCTGCTGATGCTAACCCGCATGCTAGGTTAGGTAACCACGTCCAGTTTAGCTAGCGGGGTTGTAGCAGTGTACAACTGTCGTAAAGTAATAACCGCAGCGGGGAGGGCAGGGTTTATATAACTCCCAATGCAGGCGAGGGAAGCTGGTGTTGTCGTGTTGTACAGCACAGTATGCGTATAACTTTAAATTACTGTTAGTTAAAGAGATTATTAACATTAACATTATTATATCAATTAAAGTGACCTTAATTGCCTTCCGTCGTTAACGTTAGAACTACTCCACTTGAGTTTGAGACCCGTTGATTGGGCATATGTTAAAGAAATATTAGGAAAGTAAATCTCTGTCGTTGTTTTGATAATGCCTTGAAGCGTCATGGCGTTGATTGGTGTGTGTGGTTTTTTTTTTAAAAGCGGTTTGTGTTTGTCTGTGTGCCTGCAGGTGACTCACATTGAGCCCTGGGAAAAAGGAAGCAGAAAGACTGCAGGCCAGACTGGAATGTGCGGAGGGGTAAGTGAGAAGTACGTGCTTTTTGTACTCCCCACCTTTCCCTTTTTTCTGTGCCAGGATGAAGGATGGCAGCTTGATAAAGTCACTTAATCTGATCTGCAAACTGGTGAAATCAGTTGTGCACCATTACATAAGCTATAATTCACTGCACTTCCGCTGGTGAGTTTAATAGTTTTGTGGCAATGTTGCAAATTAAAGTTTTCATTTAAACTTGTCTTCTTTCGCTAGGTACGCGGAGTAGGCACGGGTGGGATTGTTTCTACTGCTTTCTGTCTTCTATACAAACTGTTTACTCTCAAGCTGACTCGCAAACAGCTCATGGGCCTGATTACACACACAGACTCTCCGTACATCCGAGCCCTTGGTTTCATGTATATAAGGTATGTGTTATAACTCACTACAAGTTTTTTCTTGTTTCAGAGGACAGATGAGTATGACTGAGTATTAGGACGACATAAAAAATCGAGCTCATTTTGAGATTAAAGTCGAAATGTAGACATTACAGTTGTGGTTTCAAGCCAAACAACTGCCCCAGCTCCCATGCCTTTTGTTTAGATGAGTTAGTGAGACAACTTGATCAGCTGTCTTATTGTGTCTTGCGATATAACATAACCATGGATATCCTTGCATCTTTGCACAAATCTGACCAACTTTTCCAGGTTTGTGTGTGTTGTTGCCTGCACCTTCTCCTCAGCATTCTTAAACTTATCAACACACTGTTTATGTGCCAAAAGATAATAATTTTCCTTGTAACTAAAACCATTTCACTAACTCATCAACATTAGACTTTAATATCAAAAATAGTATTTCGTCTTTAATCTCAAAATTGTGCCTATATCCTCAAAATGATTGATAAACTTTTTTTCCTTAACATGGCCCTAATGATCCGTAGATACATCATTGCAATTTAAATCATCATATTGTTTAGAAAAGTTTTCTTCGACCATCTCCAGTTTGCTTAAAAATAGTATAGTCCAAAATATGGAAATATATAATTAAATGAAAACTATATTATACACATTTAAGTTATAATTAGAATAACAATATTCCAGTAATTTTTTGGTACAACTTGTAATAATAAGAGTCCTAAAAAGGAAAATACATTTTAAGAATTTGATGTTATAAAGTATTCTGCAGGTTTCTTTTGCATTATTGTGAACTACAAGTATATAATATTCAAAAATTGTATTTTGCAGTGTGAATTTATTTATTAGTGTTTGCTGAAATATGGACAATCCTTTTTGAATTTTTCTCATAGGTAAACTGTACATTATTCAGATATGTTTCCACGTAGTTACAATTTATTTGTAAAAATATAATGCTTTTAACTATAACAGTTTTTGAGGTTTACATGTTCACAAGTACACAAAACATCCTGGAAGTGGGTTTATAGACCATTAATAAAAATAAAGATTTGCTTGCTTACATGAATAAAGCTAACAAAGGTTACTTTATATGCAAATCGGAGATGGTCGAGCAGAATGGCCGTGATGGTTTGAGATGGAGTGATGTAAATTTTTTGTTTTGTTTTGTTTTTGTTTTAGACTATCATGAGCATTAGTAATTAAAATCTTAATTAAATTTTAAAATAAGCTAGTGAAGCAATATGACTAGGCAATGTTTTGTTTAAATAATTACCTCAAATGTGTAAAACATGTTGCTCCTGTAAAAGATTAGCTCAAAACGATAAACTTCTGTGCTTGTGCTCCCTTTCCTGTCTCAGATACACTCAGCCCCCAACAGATTTGTTTGAATGGTATGACGGCTTCCTGGATGATGAGGAGGTATGTCACCTCGGGTAATAATTTCATGTTTCTTTCTCCTTCTCCTTGAAATGCACAGTTGAACGTCACTCATAAAAAGCTGTACTCCCCCACCCACCCCCTTGTGATGCTCATAGCTGATTTTTCACCTTTGCCTTCATTTGGCTTAATTGTCCCCAGTTTTTGTCCTCTAAACCTGAGTAGCTAGGTTACTTTTGCTCACTGCTCTGCTGCTGATTTTTATCGGGGTAAGTACCACATGTGATGCCGAGTAAATCTTTTAGTCACTGTAATTTTAAGGCATGCCCTCTGTTTTCTGACAAGCTTTTGTAAGGACTTGTTGCACAAAACTACATTTGGGATAAACCGCAATTGGAACACTGGCACGAAATAAACACTGTGTTATTTAATGCATGTAAAATATTTGCTTACGTTAATTATTTTCATATTTAGGTGAAATCTAATTTTATCCCAGGCTGTGCAACCAGGCCTCCTCTGATGTTCTTTTGCATTATATTTGAATTGAATAATTCTGAAATTCTACCCAACTGGTTAATTCCCCTGTTTTTTTCTTTAGATGCCCATTGTGCAGCAGGTGAATTGGATATTGTATCTCAGCACTGTTGGTTTGCGTGAGTGCAAAGTGGCTGTTCTCTACCATATAAAATTGATAACTATTCAAATGGTGTGCACTTACCTACCTGCTCCAATCTGTGCTTACACTGTGGGCAATTTTTATTCTCTTTGAGCGTTCATTATGCTTTTGGGAGATTGAAGAAGGAAGCTAAAGCTTTTTTCTCTTTTTTCCCTTTAGCACAATGACAGTGTGCCCCAATGTTTCACTCTTTCTTTCCTTCATATTTAAGTTAAAGTTATAGTTTATAGTTAAACATTAGCACTTTTTTGAAGATGCTGTTTGAAACAAGGATATGAAGGATGGGCATTGCGTCGTATAAATGTAGTGACTTTTGCTGCATAATTAAAGCTCACTCTGTAAATACAGACACTAGGAAATAACAGACAGGTTAGGTGAGACCAGACCTTTAAGATATTCAGAGCTGTGTTTCCACTATTAATAAGTAAGGCCAGGCACATTTGATTGGTTTGTGGTCTTTGATGAGAGATTAAGCTAGATGAACAGAGGTGAAGGTTCAGTGCTTGGTCATCACAAATTGCTTTTTGATGTGAGGCAAGATTGGAAAAATATATATATTTGTCAATGTACTAAATTTGTGTGCTAACTGAGTATTTTTTTTCTTTTTCTTGCTTTATTTCCCCCCACCATTTGGTTTTAGGAGCTCGACGTAAAAGCAGGAGGTGGTTGTGTGATGACCATTGGAGAAATGCTGCGCTCCTTCCTGACCAAACTGGAGTGGTTTTCCACACTGTTCCCCCGTATCCCAGTGCCTGTGCAAAAAGTTATTGACCAGCAAATCAAGGCAAGGCCACGGAAGGTACCTCAGAAGGAGACGCAAGAGGACGAGGACGGGTTTGCAGAGTCGGGAAGGCAAGGAGAACGCCGGCGCTCCAGGTAACGGCAGTGATTCAAACTGAGTGTTTCTACTGAGCTGTAGACTTCTCGACAGGTATAGCTTTCATGGAGCAATAAACGGGACAGATTTGAGTCCTGCAGGGTGTGAGCTGTTGACTTGTTTTCATGTTAACTTATTTATCTGCCCCTTAGGTTGTTTTTTTTTTTTATACCTTTTTTTTTTCTTTAGTTCTATCTTATTATTTCTCTTTTTAATGCCAATTACTAATAAAAAGCATTTTAACAGTATAAATTGTCAAAATTAACTACATATAAAAGTTGTAATGTTCACAAAAGAGGTTTTTGCTTTCCACAAGGACTTTGATCATGAAATGTTATATAAGCTCAAAATACACGAGACACACGTTTGTTAGTTAAATGGCTAAAAGTAACAGAAAACGTGCAAACCTCTGTTAAACAGGTAGAACAGTCTCTTACTTTAACTTTGTATAGACAAGTCATGCATGTGCATAATCAACAATAAAGGGACATTATTAGGTTATAAAAAACCAAGGGATAGGTATTAAAGATGTTCATGGTATATTTGTAGTCTGAATGGACACATCAGATGTCAAACTTTTTCTTTTATGTGCACTGAATGAGAATCATTAGAATTCTAATAATAATGTAGGCGGTGAGGAACAGTTGTTTTGTAATAGCTTGTTTTGTAGCTTCTCAAATTTAATACATCAGAATAAAAATAAATAAATTGCGGATTTAGAAGAAAGAGGGATTGCATAACTGAACTGCCACAAGACTGAAGGAGCTCCTTTGATATTTAGTGGAGCATTTAGATTTCATTAGTGTCTCCTTGTGTGTGTCTGACTTGCCAGAACAGTGTGTGTTGTGTGGGAGATGGAGATAAAGCTTAGACAGCATCCTTCACATCCATCCTTTGGTGACCTTGGTGTAGAAAATCCAAAGCAAATAGTAACATTTGAAGTTTTTAAAGAATCCATGTTGCCAAAAAAAAAAAAATCCGATATGCACAATAAAGTTAGAATAGGTGACATTATTCAAATCTTAAGAATAAGTATATGTGGAGGGTATTTTTCTGGGGTCCGAGCAGAATATGTGCACTGGGAAATGGGGAGGTCTCCTCTGACATCCCATAATGATGTCACCATCTCAGATAACTTTGTTTACCACTACTGTCGGTGACATCAACCTTTGCTAATGCTGACATGCCCATGGAAACAGACACTGCACTATAAATAAGGCTACATGTTCTGCATATAAATCTGTATATCTGTGCCGCAGTTTCAAATATCTGAACTCTGCCATGACTAAAAATACCAGTCTCTTAAAAAAAAAAAAAAGTTGTGTGTCAGTTAAATGTTAAAACGTAAGAGTTTGGAATTGTGCGCATGTGGTTTTGTTTTTGAAGTAAATTGTTCTAAGATTATTCTGTCGCTGTTTCCAGGACACCCAGGCGGACACCGAGCCCCCGTAGGTCGCCCAAGCGGTCCAGGAGCAGGAGCCACCATCGCGAGAGAGAGCGCCACGGGCCCAGCTTTGATCGAGAGCTGGAGAGAGAGCGTGACCGGCAGAGGAAGGAGAGGGAAGGCAGGGACCGAGACAGGGAGAGGGGGGACCGAGGGGACAGGGAAAGGCGACGCTCCCGTAGCGCGGACAGAAACCGAGAGCGCAAGAGAAGCCGCAGCGGTAGCCGGGACCGTAGGAGCGAGCGCAAGGAGAAGGAAAGGGACGGCGGGGATGACAGGAGCAGGAGGAAGGACAGGGATCACCATAAAGACAGAGGCACTGAGAGGGAGAGGTCCAGGGATAAGAAGAGCAGGGGAGAGACTGACGACCGCAGGCACAAGGACGATAGGGAAAGGCACAGGGACGAGAGGAAGGCCAAAAGGTCCAGCCGGAGTCGAAGCAGAGAGAGGAGACACAAAAGTGGGGCAGAGGAGAAGAGCAGGAAACGGGAGCGCAGCCACAGCAGGGAGAGGGACAGGGAGAGAGACGGAGAACAGCGCTCTCACAAACGCAGTCGCAGCAAAGAGAGGAGCCACCATCAGCGAGAGTCCAGCAATGACCATAGTAGACATAGAAGCAGTCCGAGCATCGAGTAAATGCTGCCTTGCAGCAATATTACTTGTGTTTTTCCTCCTCTTTTTCTATATTCGGCTGTCTGCTCTGTCACTTGTGCTAAAAAGAAGGAACAGTTGCACATCGGACATTTGGATTTGTTGTCTATGGCTGATGTTGCTTTATGTTTTTCCGCTATTTCACTCCTCGTTAGACCATCGTTAGTCTTCACTTGAATTCTGGAAAGTGGAAAAAAAGGCATTTTAATTTTCTATTTTTTGTTTTGATTTGTTTTGTTGTCCCAGAAAGATGGGGGTTTGTACATAATTTCTAAGGCTGTCTACACGCTGCACACGGGCAGAGTTGGACTTGCTGCTGGGCCGGATGCTTTCAGTGCTATACTATCGCCATGTAGATTACACGATTCATGAAAAATGACTGTAATTACTTTCAGCCTGTGCAAAAGACCACATGTGCTTACTCTTAAAATTTGTCTGATATGCCTCTGTACACGAATGGTTGAAGTTCAACACTTAACGTGAAGGCCATGTGGCTCAGCTAAAGCAGAACAGTTCTGTCCGTGATCACGTGTAGACGTCCTGAGAGTGTTTTAATCCTCTCAAATGCGGTCCGCAAAGGGTAATTTTTACAAAACACACTTGGGCCCTGCTTGTGTTGTGTTTCGGTTATTGCTCTGTTGCATTTTGTTTTCTAATAAAACACTTAAAAAAAAAAAAAAGCAACGGGTCGTTTGTACAACTCACACATACACATAAAGAAACTCAAAGAAAACATTTTCATTATTTTATTAGAATGTAGTCTGAAAATTATTTGCATGTTAAATACACATTTAGCAATGATGATAATTCACAAAATGAGAATTAAAAAAGCAGGAGGAACATGCAACTTCAACCAGCAGTAGACATAAACCCATCTTTATAAAGAGTTTTTAATATAAGCATGAACAAACAAATTTCCCACCTGTAGGACTAATAAAGGTCATCTTATCTTAACTGGAGGACAGAGCCTTTTATTCTAAAGACAACTACTTTATTATCAGTGGTGAGGCTAATGCTGAATGCATCTCATGGTACACGAGCAGAGCAACCCACATTAATTCCCACAATCTAATGTGCTTGTGTATTGTGTGTTAAGGATTTGGCATCTAAAAGTGGAACCATTTTTAAAAGGAGAGGTGTGGAGGCCTCAGAAGTGCCTTTTCCATTTACTGTGGAAGCCCACTCTCTGTCCGCACACATACGGGCTCAGACTCTGGCCCACTAGCGTCTGCGTAAATGGCCAGCACAGAGATGCAGTAGGTGGCGTTTGGTCTCATATCAGTGAGCATGATGCTCTCGCCGTACACCGTCAGCTGCTGGTGCTCGTGGGACCTGCTTTGCTTTATAACCAGCAGGCTGTAATAAGAAGCACCCTCCACCTTAGACCATGTGATGGAAATGACTGTTGATGTTGTGTGCTTGACATCCAACACGGGAGCTGAGATGTTTCCTGATGGAGAGAGGGAAAAAAGTTCTGAACAGAGTCCCGGAGGACTTAGAACTTCAGAGTGTGATGAGCTGGTAGATGTGGAAGTTAATTCTTATAAAGCTCTAAAATCAAAACTAAATAGAACAAAATCCAATGAATGTAAACTCACCATTCAGTGACATCTGTTGTTGGAGATCTCTTCTCCTGCGTGCGTGCGTCACCACTAAAGACAGAAGATCAGTTTAGATCTTATTCATTTTTAAACTTGTCTTAATTGTCACCACAAAGTTACTGAACCGTACTTTTTGTGACATTTATCGCTTCACTTTCTCCAGCGGCATTGCTGGCGGTGATCGCGAGATCGCTGGAAGCGATGTTGGACAGCGAGCAGGACAGCTGTGCAGTGCTGCACAGCTGGACCTTTGGCGTTATGGTGTTGTCATACACCGTGTAGTTGACGGCAAACACTGAGGCGTTCCACGAAACTGTGGCAAAGGAGCTGTTTCCAGTGTACACCACACCCGATGGTGGACAAGGAGCTGAGAGAGAGAAATGGGATTTAAAGAAGTTCATTCATTTTTATTTAAAAAAGAAAGAAAGAAAGAAAAAAAATACAAATACACGAACACATCAGACCATTTCTGTCCTGATTGAGGCATTTTTTTTTTTTAATCAGAATTTAAAAATTATATTCTTTCCAAAAAAGATAGAAAGCTTACTTTTATTCACACTCAATGGACACTTTTTTAAGTACACCTTGCTAGTACTGGACTGGAGTATTGGACCCCTTGTTGTTGCCTTCAGAGCTGCCTTAACTCATGGCACAGATTCAACATTCAACAAGGTGCTAGAAACATTCCTTAGAGATTTTTCTACCATAATTACATGACAGTGTTACACAGTTGCTGCAGATTTATCAGCGAACACCTCCATGATGACAATCTCTCATTCCACCATATCCCAGACCTGCTCCATAAACTTCAACTTCTTCAGAATTCTGCAGCTCGGGTCATAACTCGTACTCCCTTAAGAGACCATATCACCCCAATTCTTCAACAGCTTCACTGGTTGCCCATAGAAGCCAGGATAAACTTTAAAATCTTAGTTCTCACGTTTAAGAGTATTCATACCCTTGCCCCTCCTTATCTCTGTGATCTGCTTCATATCACCACAGTTTCCCGCTCTCTCAGATCTTCATCTGCCACTCATCTTGTTGTTCCTTCTGCTCTCTTTACCACTATGGGGCACAGAGCTTCCAGTCGCTCTGCTCCTCGGCTCTGGAACTCTCTTCCTTCAGCCTTAAGAAATATAGATTCCCTTCCCTTATATAAGTCACAACTCAAAACCTACTTGTTTAAACAGGCTTACTCGCTTTATTACAGATTTTACTTGCTGTGTTTTTTTTTTTAAATTGTTGTTTGTGGTTGTATTTTGCTGGTTTCTGTATTTTAATTAATTACAGTCTATTTTAATCTACTTTTTTAATGATGTATTTTTCTCTTTGTAAGGTGACCTTGGGTTTTAGAAAGGCGCCCTCAAATAAAATGTATTATTATTTTTTTTATTTTTATTGGATTGACATCTGTTTACTGAGGAGGCCTTTTGAGTACAGTGAACTCACTGTTGGTGATTTGAGCTTTGTGACATGGTGCATTATCCTGCTGGAAGCATGCATGAGAGGATGGGTACACTGTAAAGATGTGATGTCTTTCATTAGCTACAAGAACACCTCAGTGTAGCTCATATGATTACTAGTTACAACCGATTTTGTGAGGACACATGAAGCACCTGTGTAACTGCAGTGAACAACAGCTCAAATCTGGGGTGTAATCTACCTGTTGTTCCATAAACAGGCATGGATGTGTCGCTCATGCCTGCAGCATTCCTGCTCTTCATTGTGGCGCTGTAATTCGAACTGCAGACGAGAGGAAACTCAAAGTATGTCACATTTGTCCAATAGGAAGAAAGCTCGAACATGGCCTGGCTGTCTCCCAGCAGACTTCCTGTCAAAGTGAGCATGTAACCGGTGTCGCCACAGGTAATCTGTTTCCAGCTGAAACGCATCACCTCGATCTCGTCCTGCATTGGGAAAAGCTGCACCTCAGCAATAGCTGGTGGACAGGGAACTAAGAGAGGAGGAGTCAGTAACAGTAATGTGAAAAGTTACTCAGGGTTTGACAAGTATGAAGCTCCTTTTTTACCTGCTTCAATCTGCACAGGATCACTGAAGGAGCTGTTGCATGTCCCGTCTGAGGCCTGGACAGAGAAATTGTAAACAGTTCCGCAGTCGAGGCCATTGATAACACAGCTGGGGTTTGTGCTGTGACAGTAAAGCATGTCTTCATTTCCAGCCTGAGCACAGCCGTAGTAGTCTTTAGCTCGTCCACTGGGAGTCCACGTCAGCGTCGCGGACCGATTGCTACACTGGTACGTAACTGAGAGTCCACTTGGCTGGCAAGGACCTGGGTAAAAGGAGCAATTAAGATGGTGTAAGTCTTAGAGTGCTAATATTAGTTATATTTTTCAGTCATTTTTGGTACTAATATCATACAAGTCCGAAAACAAATACCTGTGTTCAGTGTTACATTCTGACTGGCTTTGCTGGAGCAGTTCTCATGGCCAGCTGTCACAAACACAGTGTACTGCTCATCACAGTGGAGCTCTGATAAGCTGCAGTTTGTGGAGCTTGTGTTGCAGGTGTGCGTGTGTCCATCTGCAGCCTCAGCGACAATGTGGTAGGTTTCAGCACCCGGAGACGGAGTCCAGGACACCACCGCCCTGTGATGCTCACAGGCAGCGTTCACCCTCACGTCTGTGGGTGGACAGGGCTCTGTGGAAAAAGACGAGTCAACATAAATACACAAAGGCCAGGTGATGGGTTTTTACTTAGATTTAGTAGCTTTTAATTATCTGTATCTGCTGTATTTAAGCTATGATTTTGACTGTTTTACTAAACCACTTTGTTGGGGCTTTTTTTCTTGCTAATTTATTTTAAAAAATACTTGTCTACTTCCAGTCTTTAAGCTCAGGTAAGCTGCATATCTGTTAACTTAGAACTTCCAAACTTGATGCACTTCTTGACAGAAAATAAACATGAAGACGTACCCATGCTAACTCTGGAGGGAGGACTTCTCATACTGCTGCAGGCGTCCGATGAAGCAGCTACACTGATGGTGTACTGAAGGCCACACTGTGCTCCCTGAAGGGAGCAGCTGGTGCCGGTATTATTGCAGGTCAACAACGTGTGATCACTGGCTTCTGCTGTAGCAGTGTACACAGTGTTTCTCTCACTACCCTCCATGAGATCCCACATAACAAGGATGGAGGAGTTGTGACACTGGGGGACAGCAGTGATAGCAGAGAGGGAGCAGGGGGCTGAGAATGAAGCAGATGTTGATAAGTTCATACTGTGGCACGAGTAATTAATTGAAATGACAAAACACAGCTCTTACTGAAGTACCTGTTTCCAAACTGATGGGGGCACTGGGCTGACTCTCACACTCGCTGTTTTTGGCCAATACGCTGAAGTTGTAAAGCACACCACAGGCCAGGTCTTTCATCTCACACGTCGTGTTGGTAAAGGTGGTGCAGTTGACTGTGTAGTCATTTCCACCTACAGCTACACCGGACACAGTGTAGCTGTCTGCCCCGGGAGCATCAAGCCATGATATCCAGGCAGAGTTGGTCACACAGTCAATGCTGCCCTTGATCCCCTGGGGCTGGCAGGGAGCTAAAACACATAAAGTTCATTTGGTGATTGGTTGGAAGGATCCATGCAAGCCAGGGTAGTTTGTCAAGTGTTTTTTTTCTTTGAAGCTTGAATTTAAAATCCTTCTCCTCTTATACAAGATCTTGAATAATTAGGCCCCATCTTATTTTGAAGACCTTATAGTTCCACAGAGCACTTCGCTCTCAGACTGCAGGTTCCTAGAGTATTTAGAAGTACAATGAGAGGCAGAGCCTCCAGCTTCTAGCTTGGATTTAGGAGACAGACACCCTGTTTGTTTAATATTAGGCTTAAAACTTTCCTTTCTGGTAAAGCATATAGTTAGGGCTGGATCAGGTGGCCCTGAATCCTCCCTTAATTATTAGGCCTAAGCTGCTGGGGGCCACTATATATATATAAAGTGCCTCGAGGTGACTATTGTCATTTGGCGCTTTAGAAATAAAACTGAATTGAACTGAAGTTGTCTAACCTGACTGGATGCTCTGGGTCTGACTGTGCACGCTGCGGCAGTGTTCTCTGACAGAGGTCACCTGGACTGTGAAGGTTTTTCCACATGTGGCATTGCTGCTGAAACATACAGTGTTTGTGGTGTTGCATAACTCGCTTTCGCCATTCTCAGCAGCTAGTGAAACCAAGAAGTGGTCAGCATCTCCGATGGCGTCCCAAGAAACTGTCAGATCGTTTGACGAACAGTCGACCTGGGTGCTCACGTTCTGAGGCGGGCAGGGGACTGAAAACATGACAACAGCTTGAATACACAGCTGAAAGCTTTAAATTGCAAACATTTGATCGCCTGCACAAAATTCATATTTTAAAAGTGCTTTAGGCTCTGGTCACTGGTGTTGTTCCTCTTACTTGAGTTGAATTTCAGAGGCCAGCTGGGGACGCTAGAGCAGCTGTCACCCATAGCTACAACGTGAACAGTGTAGAGGCTGCCACAGGTGAGGTTGTTGAGGCTACAGCTAAGGCCAGCGGTCTGACAGCTGTCATTATTAACATGGGCACTGTGGGCCATGACTGAGTACTTTACAGCACCCTGACTGGCAGCCCAGGACACAACAGCAGTGTTGTTAGCACAATCCATCACCACTGAGACGTCAGTGGGAACACAAGGTACTGAAGATAAAGCAGACACAACAAACAGGATCGGTCACTCAGTGTGGAGAGCATCATGAGCAAAAACCTCAGTATACAGCAAAATGATTACTACTGCTACACAACACCTTAACTATGCTGACTTTACATATTTAAAAGCACAGACTGTAGAAATAATAAAGCTTGTATCCATCCCCTCACACCATAACTAGACGTTGTCACACTTTATCCTTGTTCAGGCTTCCTATGATTGGACAGCCTCCCAGCACTGACTAGATGCTTGGAGACCAGCAGAGGAAAAGTGGGAGTCTCAGATAAGTTTGTTTGCCCAGTGACCACAAAAACATGTCACTTTCCTCACCTTTAAATTCTAACAGAGAAAAAAAAATCCTTTCAAATATGAAAACAGAATTAAGAAATGAAGTTTAAATATAGCAATGAAAGCCTGCGTTTCCTGCTCTAGTAGCCATGCAATCCTCACCTGATTGCAGACTTGTGGCTGGACCGGAGGTGACGTTACACTGCTGGTTGGAAGCTGTGACTGAGACAGAGAAGTTCTGTCCACACATCAGGTCAAGGAAGCTGCACTGATTAGTGTCTGACGTGCACATTTTTGACACGCCGGTGTCAGTCTGCATGGTGGCTTTGTAGACATCTGACCCATTACTAGGCTGCCAGGTTACCACAGCAATACTAGTAAGACAGTCCTGGCTGGCAGAGACTCCGATGGGTTTGCATGGCCCTGGTATAAAAACATATAAACTCAGATTAGAGCTCACTTCTCCATTATGTGTGGTTGGTCAAAACTGTGTATCTGAACAGTACGCACAGGTCTGCACAGAGACTGAAGCGCTCGAGTTTCCAGGACAGTACCAACTGTGAGGTGTGATTTTGATGCTGTAGTTTTGTCCGCAGGTAAATCCAGTGAAGCTGGCTGTGGTCATGTTAGTGTTGAGACTGACTGACTTGTTTCCCGCCTCAGCGTAAACCGTGTACATCTTTGCCCCATTGCTGGCATCCCAGCTCAGAGACACCACTTTCATATCACAGTTCACAGTGGCAGACAAATTCTGGGGAGCACACGGGTCTGGAAAGAAACAATGATCTGATAATGTTTCTTTTACTTGTGCAAATTTCTAAGAAAAACTGTAGAAACTGCTGAACAATTACAGACATGAGATGATGTATTCGGACTTCATTTCACTTTGTTTTCATTTGTCAATATCATACCCATGTGGATGATTGAGCTGTTGCTCGGCAGACTGGTGCAGTTGTTGCTCTTTGCTCTCACTACAACACTGTACTCCTCCCCACAGTGCAGATCGCTCCAGGTGCAGGAGGTGGTATTGCTTATGCA